GCTTGTGCTGCTGAGCTATATCCTCAGCTTTGTTTTTGTGTTTAATCATTCTAAGTCTTCAGGTTAGGTTAGATGTACACATACAGCCTTAAGCCAGAGGAAGACCTCCATAGGAGTATGTGTTCTTCAGCCAACAAACATTTGTTGAGTACCAGGACTTGTGCTACATATGAGCTGTAGAAGAACTGAAGAGGCTTCTAGTAGTGGACAGGCAGCATGTTTCCAGAATTGCAGAACAACACAAGAGCTGTTACAGGGAGGCAGAGGGCTCTCAGTGCCATATCCAGTGGGCCATGTTAAGATTGGGTTCTTGAACGCGAGAGGGCACGCAGAGTCCTTCCTGTTAGCACACAAGCCCGATTGCCTCATAGTCCCAGCAGCCGAGCATTTAGGTTTAATTGCAGTGTTGGCACTTTGTGATAACTGGGTTCGGGGTTGTGGTTTGGGCACTCAGTCTCTACAAAGTTGGCCATCGCTGGCCTAGACACTTTTTGTTTCGTTTGGGTATTGTTTGGGCTCTCAGGAAGCTAGGGAGACACCGCCTCCTATGGACTGGTTTTGTTTCAGGACTTGGGTCTCAAGACCACTCTTCACAGGAGCCTGTTATGGTCCTGAGAACTTTAAGGAGCTAGGTGAGTCAAATCAGTGTTGCCCTTATAAAACTAAACCTTCTGTGGGCAGCACCCAGTTAGGTGAGACATTCAGAACCAAATAACATAAATGTGTATGTTTCTACTGTACTTCCTCATGGGCAGTGATTTTGGAACCAGGGGAGTTCTTTAGCCACAGTGCAGTGAAGAGTTGGAAAGAAAAACATTAATTGGGACATGCCTTCACATCCCAGCTAAAAGGTTCAGAATAGGAAGGTATTAAATGTCCTAAGGGGTGGGGTGGCATTCCTGAAGCCATTGCTAGCTGCCTTCCTGTTAGGGAACCCAGCTGCTACTCTCAAGGGCCAGTGAGGTTTGTGTCATGTCCATTATACAGGCATCAACAAGACTCGTGAGGGGATTCGCGCCAGACCCTGCTTTGTGATACTGAGCCCCAGTTCACATCCTAGTCGTCTTGCTGTACCCCAGGGATCAGTCACACTCCTCTCTGATGGGCTCGGCCAAGTCACAGGCAATATTTGGGAAGATGTTTGTAGGAGGTAAATAATGGGTTTAGAATCTGAAAGCTGGAAAAAATGAAAGCCAACATTTAGCAGATGTAACCAAAAATTAGTCTCACGATCAAAGTGTGAAGGTGATAGCAAAATTGGGTTGGAAGTAATCAAAGTTGAGTGTACCGGATTGTACACCTGTCCTTCAAAGATGATCTCTAAAGGTGTAGAATTGCTTCCCCTTGTTAGGAAGTGTGATGAGACTAGAAAAGGGGAGCTGTTTTCTCCTTTAGCTGCTGCAATGCCATTGGGGACTGTTGATTGCATGGGAATTACCAACAAGAAGCATGATGGGAGAGGAGCTCAAAAACATAGCACGTCTGCCCAGCACCGGCTTAGGGATTTCTCCCTTGCCCAAAACTAGTACTAGAGTCACTTGAAGAATTTCCACGTTTTTTCAATAGTTTTAAATCTTAAAACGTTGCAAGAAATAAAAGAGCAATACATTACATTTAAATAAAACTGTAAAATACTGTGAAGGCTACAGAAGAAAATTTGAACAGATGGAAAAATATACTAACTCCTTGAACAGATGCAGTCAGTTTGAAGCTACTAGTTTGCAGTTACATGAACAGTTGTAATGTCATCCTAATAAAACATACCAACAGATTTTAAAAACAAGTTTATGTGAGGAAAAAATAATAGCTGGATGATAACTACAGGAGAGGGGATAAGTAGAGTGTTTAATGATAGCAAATACTAAAACTCATTATAAAACTAAAAGTGTCATTTTGGTGCATGAATAGGCCAGTAAAGCAGAGTGGAAAGTCTGGAAATAGACTCAAATACATATATGTAAAATTTAGCATAATGAATGTGTCACCCAGAATCAATGAGGAAAAAAAAGATGGATTTTTAAGTCAAGAGTGTTGGAACCACTCGGTAACATTTGAGGAAATGTTAAAGTTGGCACTCTGTATACTTTGCACCATAAGCCAAAGTATATTTTAAAATGGATAAAGACCTAAATGTAAGAAAAATACTAAAGACACCAGGAGGAATGTGGGCAATTCCCTTAAATCCATGAAGGATGAGGAACTCCGTTCTTACTTGAACCCCAGATCCAGAACTCATAAATAAAAGTTGGTCAAGTCTATGTAAAACAAAATAAGATCTTTTTAAGATTAAGGTCCCAAAACACCGTAAGTTAAATTAAACCAAAGCCAAAAAAATAATGGAAGGAGAAAAAAATTGCAGTTCATTGCTAAGAGCTAATACATAAAGAGCTTCTGGAAACTACTATACAGACCAATGACCTAGTAGAAAAATGAGCAAAGTGCTGATAGTTCCGAAATATAGGAAGAGTTCCTTAACCTCATTCATGATGAGAAATACAAAATTAACACTTTTTAAAAACCTAATCTGGTTAGTACCATGGGAAGCAAGCATTTGATTCAGTCCACTGGTGGGAGTGTAAATTGATAAAACCCCTCTAAAGAGCAATTTGAAGCCAGGTGTGGTGGTACACACCTGTAATCCCAGCACTCAGGAGGCCGAGGCAGGAGGATCACTGCAAGTTTGAGGCCAGCCTGGACTACATAGCAAGACCCTCTGTTTAAAAAAAAAAAAAAAAAAATTGATAATATGTGTCAGAATTTTAAAATGCAGATATTCATTGGCAGGTCCATTTGCTCTGGGAAAGTCACTGTTTCTCTCTTGTTTTATCCCCATAGCATTGTGAGAGTTGAGTGAGATGAAGCCTAGGAAGTACTTGACACAAGTGCAGGGCACATGGGATGTTCTCCCAGCATGTTGGCTAATAATATAGTAAGGAACAGTCATGGAGTTCTTATCATTGCCACATTGTCACACTGTGCTTGATGATGTCTCATGTATTATTTAATTCTCCAACCAGCACCATGAAATAGGTGCTTCTGATTACCAGAAGTTAGCCTCTGGGGAGACTGAGGCACAGCAATGGGAAGGGGGTTGTAGAACAGAATTCAAGCCTGAAAAGATCTCCATGCCTGCAATACACTGTTTCCCTGGTGCAGTAAGGTGATGAGGAGGGTGTGCTGACTGCTATAAGAACACAGGGGTAAGCACATAGTCTGGTTGTATCACACCACCCAAGGGGCCATATGCATTTTTTCTTACTTTTTTTGGTGGTGTAGGGATGGAACCCAAGGTCTTAGGGTCTTACTCATAAACACTATACCTCTTAGCTACCCCATCTCCCGGCACCCATGGGGCCTTACCGGTTTTTGAAGAGGTGGCTTTCAGACAAGGCTCAGCTATTTTCAAGTTCAGCAGTGGTGAAGCAGTGTTTGTTTTGCTTTAATCCACTTTCAGTCCATCTCCTGATGTATAAAACTGGGGCCTTACCAATTTCAGGGGTGGTTGTGAGGATTAAAAGAGCTGAACACAGCAAAGCACTAAGGTACTGACAATCTATGCTTGCTGGTGTGAAATGAACCAAAGTAGGCCTTGGGGTGACGTGTAGGGCAAGAGCCCTTGCCTAGCATGTACGAGGTCCTGGGTTCAGTCCTGAACACCACCACCAAAACAGACAAAAGAAAAGTGGATGGATGGCGCAAGTTGGGGGAAGCATTCTAGGAAGAGGGAACACCATCTTCCAAGGTTACAGAGCCACAGAGAGCCTGAAGAACCCAACAAGGGGAGTGTGGGGTTGGGAGGCAGGGTGGCAGAGGGGATGGTGGCTGATGTCCTTGAGGACCAGCTAAAAATCTTGAACTATTTAATAGTAAAGATAAAATGAAAAGTGCCACCATTTGTTGAAGGTTTGCTATCTTATCCAATTGTGCCTGGTGCAGCGGTACACAGCTGTAATCCTAGCTAGCACTTGGGAGGCTGAGGCAGGAGGGGGATGGCCACGAATTTGAGGCCTGCCTGGGACACATAGTGAGTTCAAGGCCAGCCTGAGTTACATAACTTGTCAGTGTTGTTTGGAAAGATTCCTTGTACCATGTGTTGGACTGATTCAAAGATGCTCTGGTAAACTGCTCTGAATTTCAGACATTAAAAAAAAAATACTTATAATTTTTCTTTACTTCACAAGTCATACTGCAGAAAATGAGAAATACAGGAAAGTTTTAAAAAATTAATGCATCTTCCAGAGACATCCCAGTTGATTCTTTTCTCATCTTATTTCTTCTCTGCTAAAAACATGTAGTCATTAGGAAGGTGGATAGGTGAGAGATGGAGAGTGACCACTGTAAAAGAGTTCCTGATATTCTCTTTTCTTCTCCATTTTATTAGGACCAAACCTAGAGGAGAGGCCAGTTTCTCACTACATTTCAGGGAAATGTCCCCTGAGCTCCGCGCCGCGACGCGCACTTGCATTCGCGCCCGGGCTCCAGGAGGCGCTTCCGTCAGACCCGGAGAATAGGAAAGAAAGTGACGCGAAAACGCGATTGAATTTGGGCCCTGCCGCTGCCCGTAGTCGACGTCTCCAACATGGCGGCTCCCCAAGATGTACACGTACGGATCTGTAACCAAGAGATTGTCAAATTCGACCTGGAGGTGAAGGCGCTCATCCAGGTACTAATTTTGGGGACCCTTCCGGGATCCAACAGGCCTAACTCAGATGTCGCTGGCCTCTTGTGAGCTCAGGGCTTTTACTCTCGAACTTTCCCCAGGCCACTGTCTCCGCCTCAAGGCCCGCCACTCTGTCCCCATTCGGTCTGGCCCTCCTTTATTTCTCCTTCAGGTTGCCATTGGCTTGCTGTCTTCTGAGGCACCCTTATAACCCCTGACTCTCACCGGGCTGCCCCGTAATGGCCCCTCTTGATCCCTCCCACCCACACTCTTGGCTGTCCTCCGACTCTGAGCGCCTCTCTACACACCTGTTACCCACCTGACACCTTCTTCCCCTTCATCGGGTGGTGTCTCCGGGATCGTTAGCTCGCCCTCTGCCGACGAACTTCAGTGCGTCCGGTGCCCCGTGGCACCCAAGGCTACCTGGCATGGGAGTCACTGGCAATTGTGAACATAACCTGGACTTTAGTTGGGATTTTGTGAATGAAGAAATCGAATAATGCGGCAAGGACTAGGTCAGAAGGCAGACAGTGACAAAGCTCGGACCCAGGCGGGGAAAATACGCCAAGGAAAAGCACCTTACAGTGTTTCTACCGTGTTTAACAGATGGGGAAAATGAGACGCTCCGCCTTAAGTCATTTAAAAGTTGAAAACAGTAGTGTAGTAAACAGTTGATGTAGGCAAGAATTAGGACTGTAGGTACGGCTCATGAGTTTAATGAAAAGAAACCGAGTTTTAAACCTTAGTTTTAAATAAATTGTTTCCCTTTCCGACCAATGTCGCTAAACATTAGATGTAGACTCAGAGTTTGCCACAGAGTGTGGCAAAATGTGAAGCAAAGTAGGTTTCCCCTGATAAACCACATAGAGAATAAATCAAATTAATGGATTATCATATACTACAAGAAACTGTGATTTGAGGGGCCAGAGAACAAATGAAGAAACTAATTTCTTGAATTTCACTTGTTGGACATCTGAACTGCAAAACTCTGGGCCAGTTCTAGAAAAATAAACATAGATTGGATTTACATAAGTGAAACTGTCAGGGGTTGAGGTTGTAGTTCAGTAGTACAGCCCATGCTTAGCATGAACCCTGGGTTCAGCCATGCGTTCCCACATGGGTGCAGGTACACGCACACACACACACACACATACACACACATTATTTTTATATGTCATCTGTGTTGTACCCTCTCTAGCATTGTTTTCTGATTGCTAATGAGGAAGAGCGATCAATTATAACTAGATGTATTGCATTCTTATAGTGTTCCAGCTGCTCTGCTAAGTGCTTTAGATATATGATCTTGAGGGAGGTAACGTGAGAGGCACAGAGAATTTATGTAACTTTTTTTTAGGGTTGCACAGCTAGTAAGTTGCTACATCTAGGATTTGAATGCACATAGTTTGGCTCTAGAGCCTGCTCTAAAACTTAGTCCAGTAATTCTGAATCTATTTCCAGAAATAAGTTCCAAATCTACCCTTAAACAAGTTTATAAACAAACAGTGACTTGTAACAGATGGCTTGTAAAATCAGACCAAATTAATCTTGTCATATGTTGCCAGTAATTTAAGCATGCTGATTTTCAAGTTGGGAAGATCTGGAGTTATACTGTCACTTTTGGATCCATTCTTATTGGATGTGCAAGTTGCTTTAAGTCTTTCATACTGGCCCGGTGATGATTTGTTAAAGTTTAGGGACTAATAATTTAGGTAAAGTTGTGTTCCTTCATAAGCACTAAAATTATCTTTTTTTTTTTTTTTTGAGGCACGCCCTCTACCATTGAGCTAAACCCCCAGCCTTCTCTCTTTTTTTTTTTTTTTCTTGTTTTCTTTCTGGTACCGGGAATAGAACTCATGATCTTGCACTTGCCAGGCAGGCGCTGTGCCACTGAGCTAAATCCCCAGCAGCCCCCCAGCCTTCTCTGTATTATCTGTTCAACATTAGTTTAAAGAGAAATGAGAAAAATATAAATAATGTTTTTGCTTGTGTCACAGAGGTAAATAGCAAAGATCAGGAGGAATTACACTCAGGCCAACCTTAGTTGTGGTCTAAGTCAACTTTCTTACTGTACAGATGATATCATTTCATTTCATTGCCTCCAGAGAGGCCTCTCATCCCTTCCATGTCTCCTAGGATATTCGAAACTGTTCGGGACCCCTAAGTGCACTTACAGAACTAAATACTAAAGTGAAAGAGAAGATTCAACAGTTACGACACAGAGTACAGGTGAGCATGACTTCAGAACCAAGATTCTGACCATGAGTAACAATGAAGGGTCTCAGCTGTGAGCATAAAACTGTTTGAGAGCTCTCCAGGTTCTTCAGATACCAGCTGGGGGGAGTGGTAAACAGACAGCGAAGGTGACTCTTTAACTTACCTGTCATTTATTTATAATTGAGAACTTGCATGCAGATTAGAATTTTTCATTTTGAAAACCCTGAGGGCACTTCCAACTATTTTTCACCACTCTCTCCAACCCTCTCCCTCATTCCCCAGCTCATTCCTCAGTAGCATCTCCTGGGTGTTTTTGTGCTGTCACTTTGCCCAGGGTCTTCCTTTCTGTTTTTGAAGTCACTAGTCACATCACGTGCACATTAACACACCTTCAACTATGGTGTATGTGCTGTCTCAAGACAAGTGAAAGGATCAATTTAAGTAACAGAGGCATTTTTGCTACTGTGCCGCCAGGAGGGTGAGTTGGGCAGTGTGGCGCTGCCTGTCTCAGCGTGGGTCTGGAGGCACTTGGTCTTGCAGCCTGGGTAAAGACTTCATATGGCATGGCCCTAAAAGCCAGCCAGCGAGTTTGTTGTTGCTTATCAGATGAAGACAGTCTGTTCTAAAGCTTTCCACTTGGGCTGCTGAGAAGCAGTATGCCTGTGTCCCGTGTGTTGCCTTCCCTTAGGGATTTTCAAGAGCAATTTATTTTATTTTATTTTTTTTGGTTTTTCTCTAATACTGGGAATCGAACTCACGACTTTGCGCTTGCCAAGCAGGCGCTGTGCTGCTGAGCTAAATCCCCAGCCCCCTCAAGAGCAATTTTAAAATAGGCAGTTTTTGCCACAGGAGTTAACTCTGGAATTTTAGCTCAGTCTACTACACCTATTGGAGCCCTTTCTGTCTTCACCTCCAGCACTGATTTAATAAACTTAATTTTTATTTACCTATTTCTACTTTTTGCAGTACTAGGAATTCAACCCAAGGCTTTGTACATGTGAGGCAAGTGCTCTACCACTAGGACAACATCCCCAGCCCAATTTTTAATTTCTGTTATTTTCACATGTCATGTTTTATATGTGTGATGCACAGATATTAGCGTATATGAAAAGTCTCCGTGTGCTTCCTATTGTTCTCTGTTCCCCTCCTCCAAACAGCTAAACACTTTTATTTGTAACCATATATTTTCCCAGAGTTTCGGTACTCAAATATTAAAAAATACAAATATATTTCCTTATTTCTCTCTAAAAGTTACTATAATACCACTTTTCAAAAATTAGCAATGAGCCGGGTATGGTGGCACACGCCTGTACTCCCAGCACTCGGAAGGCTGAGGCAGGAGAATCATTGGGGAGTTCGAGACCAGCCTGGGCTACAAAGTGAGCTCAAGCCCAGCCTGAACTGTATAGTGAGACCGTCTCAAAAAGACAAAAAAAAAACCCCACCAAAATTAGCAATGTGTATTGAAAGACTTTGCATATTGGTAGCCAGAGACTTTCCTCACTCTTTTTGTATAGCTGTCATTTTTGAATTGTTTTTGTACCGGTAATCGAATTCAGGACGTTGTGCTTGCCAGATAGGTGCTGTGCACGCTGAGCTACATCCCCGGCCCTAGCCATCATTTTTGTAACTATTACTTTACCAAAGGGCATTTACTTAGACTGCTTCCAATTTTTTGCTTTTTAAATTAAGCTCATTTATATATATTATGTACATGTACCAGCTTCCCACGATAAATGTAATCATTATGTACTGCAGACATGTACTAATAAAAAACTTTTCAAAAAGGCTACTTTATTTTCTAAAGAGCCTTTCTTCAACTTAGCATGACTTAAACTCATCAATTATACACTTCACCTTCAGCATGAGTATTTTCTTCTGTTCATTTACATGCTTGCCTGGTGTTTATTTCCTTCACTAACTTAATAAATTACTTCATCATTGCTTTTGCATATTTACTGTGCTCTCTGCCTTTGCCTACATTAGCTCCCTGAGCACAAGTGTGTAGCTGGCATCTTGCGAGGTGATGAGCACATGGTTAATGAATGAATGACTCCATCCCAGTTTCTTTTTCCTTTTGTGTTACTGAGTTAACTCCAGGACCTTGTTCATTCTAGGCAAGCACTCCACTGCTAAGCTTTTTAAAAATTTTTATTTTCAAGACAGTCTTGCTAAGTTATCCAGGCTGGGTTTGAATTTGCCATCCTCCTGCCTCATTCTTCTGAGTAGCTGGGATTACAGATGTGTCCAAGCAGGCTCAGCTCCCGTTCTACTTCTTACCTGCATTTCCTAAGTATTTATATACTCTCTTTATACCTGGAAATATACACAAGATTTCTATTTGATGTTTTTAGCTCTCCTATGAATATCTTTTGTGTATTTATAACAAGATTGTGTGATACTAGAAGATAATTGGCCTCATATCAAAATATGCTGTTCTACACATAGTCATGTTGGACATTGACTATGTGTAAATATCTGTGACTGTGTGTGTCTGTCTTTGGGCATATGGTTCTCAAACTGGAATTTGAGAAATACTCTGTCCCCTCTTTTTTATACAGAACTAGTACTGGTTTTCTGCACCAGAACTTCCAGGAAGCCTTTCATGAGGAAATTGTTCGCTTTTCCCTCCTTCCCTCCTACCCGGCTTCATCCTGGGGATGCATTCTTCCCTTCACTGATTGGGTGCCTAGTATGTGCCAAGCATAAGAAGTAAATGCAGTGAATAGGTACAGGTCTACTTTCAGTGAACTTGCATTCTAGTAGGAAAAATAGATTTTAAATAAATAATATTGCAAAATTTTTCCAATTCACCATCAGTGCCTTTTCTTTGCCTTAGCAATATATGGGGGGTGGTGTAAATTTGAAGTAATTTTTTAGCTAGCTATTGAAATGTAGATACACACACTTGTTCCAAACCAGCACACACAAATTAGTATACAAATAAGTTAGTATCTAAGTGAGGTAATACATTTATATTTTAGGTCAGTGGCTTGACTAAAACCAGAATTTGTTTTAATTTGTGAACACAAATATATGAAGAGACTTGCAGTGTCTCTTCACCCCAAGTGTGCTTGATGGTTCCATAATCTGAAGTTCTTTGAGGTCTGATACTACTGGTTGTCACATCTGCTGTCCCCTACTCATGGGTCGGTTATTTCTCTGGTCTCTGGTTATTTTGAAGCACTGTGAACACTCATCTGCAGGCCTTCTTGTGACACTTTGTATAGCCAGAGTCCAGGGCAAGTCCTTCGGGGGTTTTTATTCTTGCTTCTGCCAGGTCTCCTGGGATTATCACAAGTCTGGGGAAACTTTTTGTGTAAATTTCTCTTCATGGAGCTTCTGAGCTACTCACGGAAAATAAATTTGAGCCTCATATCAGTATCAAGGAATCTTCTGAATTATAAATTCTCAGGTGATGTTTTTATTTTTACCCCTCTAACCAGAGAACACAGCCCAAAATAGACAAGAGCCCATGTTTTCACTCTGCCAGTGGATGGACATTTTCTTAGAACTTTTCCCTAAGGGGTATAACTTTTTATGGGTCCTAGATTTTTGGTGTTCTCACTTCCAGTTCTTAGCCTCAGGTGGCCTGAAGCTTCATTTTTCTGCCCTACATGACTCTTCAAACCCTCAAACTATTTTTAACTGATCTCAGATAAAGGAAGTACAAAAATTGAGAGAGTACTTACTTTTTTTTGTTTGTTTGTTTGTTTTGAGACAAGGTCTTACTATGTAGTTCAGGCTGGCCTTGAATTCTGTGTAGCCCAGGCTACCCTTGGACTTGCGGCAATCCTCGTCTCAGTCTCCCTAGTGCTGGGGTTACTGGTGAAGAAAGAACATTTCAAAACATTGTTGTTTGATATTCCCGTGATATCTAAGTATGGGATTAGTGGACTAATATTTTGTAACTTCTTTTCTTCTTATTCCAGGCATACCTGAGATTATAGGAGCAGCACCTCCTACTCCAGGGCAGCCATGCATTACTCACAGACTGACCACTGTGGGTCTTAGTTCCCCCTTCTGTCTTTTGGGCCTAGGAATTTTCCTCACCTGCTTGCAAACTGAGCTATGCATTTAAAAGGATGTGTGTTATGTATTACTTAGCATTCCTGGGTATCCTGTTTTAAAAGGGTACTTCAAATGTAGCTGTGTGCCCTTGCTAGAAATAGAAGTGCTTTTCTGCTTTCATATTGGCTTTTAAAACCATTTTAACATGGAGCTATTTTCTCCTCAAAGGAGCTTGAGCAGTTGGCTAAGGAGCAAGACAAGGAGTCGGAAAAACACCTTCTACTCCAGGAAGTGGAAAATCACAAAAAACAGATGCTCAGGTAGGCCTGGAGTCCTGCTAGCTGCCTCTACAGGGTTACTTGCTCCCTATGAGGCTTGTGCATGTATTTGCCTAATAAACCTGGTTCATTGGTGACTTAATTGTGTCATTTACATACAGGCTGAAATATTCTTTCTAGATCAGTAATTCTCAAGTAGAGGGAGAGGAGGGATAAGCAAAGCTTACATGGGCAGTTGGAGTTGTGCATAGTTTACAAAAGCATATTTAACATTATATTGTATTTTACATTTTTGAAACAAAAAGTATGGATCAATTTTACCTGATAATAATTTGTACTAGGAAAAGTCCACTAAAAGTGAACTAAAGATGGACCAAAATTTAGAATGTTTTGAATACAATGTTATCTGGAAAATGATGCAAAAAAAGTAAGTAAATAAATTTATATTAAACAAATTTGTAAGTTTAATTGAACCTGAGCTAATCCTTGATTATAAAACTACAGCTATCTGCTATTTTTTGATAATGAATAGGAGGAGGTTTTAATAGAACCTGAGCTAATCCTTGATTATAAAACTACAGCTATCTGCTATTTTTTGATAATGAATAGGAGGAGGTTTTAATAGAACCTGAGCTAATCCTTGATTATAAAACTACAGCTATCTGCTATTTTTTGATAATGAATAGGAGGAGGTACAGCTTTCCAACAAAATTGTCTTACAACGTGAAATAGTACCTTTCTCTTCACACTTGACTTTTGTATCATAAAAAATTGTACATATGAATATCCTTGTTTTTGTTTGGTGCTGGGGATTAAACCCAAGGCCTTGTATATTAGCATGCACTCTAGTACTGAACCATACCCCCAGCCTCCATGTGCTTTCTTTTAATCATTTCTAGGGATAAAGACCAATGTTTAAAAAAATAGGGCCAACGTTGTTATTATTATTACAGATTGTTTTCTTTGTTCCTTTTCTATTTTTTTCTTCAATCATATTTTATTGGTACATTTTAGATATACATAACGATCACATTCGTTATAGAGAATTTGTACCTGTACATGATATTTCTTATTTTTTTTCCCATTTCTCTACCCCATTTTAATTTTTGAATATTTCCAGGGGTAGGAATTGATTTGAGCTGGCTGTGTAAACGTTCTAGAACGTGGGTTTGATTTTCAGGGGGATACAATTAGCTTTTTATAGTCTGTCAATAAAGGCTGTATTGCTAGCCTCAGGAAGCTGCTCAACAAATTTGAGTTGTCATTCCTACAGGAGATTAGGTAACAGTTGTGAATAAATCATGTCAATCAATACTGTATGTTTATATTGTCATGATTGGTCTGTAGTCTATAAAGAAGAGCAAATCTTAGAGGAATAGTGACAAAGAGTAGCTCTTGTGGTCTTTTTACTTTCTAGAACAACATATATTCATGGAGTAGCTAAGGGGCTAGAAATGATGGTTCTAGGTACTGGAGCTGGAGAGATGAGTAGTAAGTTGTAGTTCTCAAGGAATGGCCTGTTCAGGACCTTAGAGGTCCCTTGACAGAATGGGGCGTGGTGTACCCAGCTGGGTGGTTGGGATCCTACCTTGAAGTCTGGAGCCACTGTGCCATGTCCTTGTGTCTTCCAGATGCCTGAGGGGAGAGGGGTGACAGAATGTCCTGGAGACAGCTTCTGGGACCCAGAGAAGAGGTGTTAGGACCTAAAGTAGAATGGTTGCGAGGGCAACCCAGAGGAAGATGTGTCAGGAAGTCGGGATGGCTACACTGCAAGGATGAACTGTTGTGATAGGAGCTAACAACCTGATGGAGCCAACAGAAACTCACTGTGACCCTTCTCTTCCAGCAACCAGACCTCGTGGAGGAAAGCCAATCTCACTTGCAAAATTGCAATTGACAATCTAGAGAAAGCAGAGCTTCTCCAGGGAGGAGATCCCTTAAGACAAAGGTATCTGTCCTTTGGTGTTTCTGGGCTCTGATAACAGGACAGGTAACAATTGGCATGAAGTAAAGCCTCAATAGGGAGCCCCCTCTTGTTTTCAGCAGAAGTTCATACTTAATATTATTATATAAGTAATACTTTTTCAAGTAAATTGGTGAGATAAAGAAAAATGTGAATTACACAATGAAAATAAGCTATACTCTTATTGTTCATGAACATTTTGATACTTTGCTTTTCCTTGTTATTTTTCCTTCCAAATTTTTTACAGCCAAAATCATACCATCTATAAAGCTTACTATCCTACTCTTCTATATTCAGTACTGTAGCACAAAGCCTTGCTTGTTTTTTTTAAAAAACTCTTTCCTTGTTTTTTTTCTTTGTTTTTTGAGACAGTGTCATGCTGTGTAGTTGAGGCTGACCTTGAACTCACTTATGTAGTCCAGGCTGGCCTCGAACTTGTAGCAGTCCTCCTGCCTCAGCCTCCCGAGTGCTGGAATTATGGGCATGCGCCCAACTCAAGAAACTCTTTAAATATAATTTTAACAGTCCATAGTATATTATTATATTAACTAATCCTGCTTGTATGTGTTTATGGTTGTAGTTTTTCAGTATTTTAAGTAATGTACTAGGGCAGGTCTTTAGAAGGTAAGCTTTTATCCACATTTTGGATCATTCCTTTGGAGAGATGTCCAGGGATGAGATTATTGGGTCAAAAATGAACAGTTCTAAGTCTCCTAACAAATTGCTTTGTAGACAGCACCAGTTTCCATTCTTACTAGCAGTCCAAATGAATGTGCTCTCACAGACATCCTTGTCAACACTGGCGATGAGTATGTACTAATAATAGGTTAAAAAAACAAATAGCTGTCAGTTGAATGTAAGGCTTTCTTGAAACAAGGCTTTTGTTAACATTCCTCCTCCCTTCTTGGAACTTTTAGGAAAACCACCAAAGAGAGCCTGGCCCAGACATCCAGTGCCATCACAGAGAGCCTCATGGGGATCAGCAGGATGATGTCGCAGCAGGTCCAGCAGAGCGAGGAGGCCATGCAGACTCTAGGTAAGGCTGGCCCTAGAGTGAGAACGTTTGCTCAGAGACACTGACAACACAGCACTTGCCACCCCCTCTGCCTATCCAAAGCTTCCCAAATTATGTGGCATCTCGCTCATAAGACATCTCAAAGCTGGGCCCTCTGCAGAGTGGGATGTGCTGCTCTCATCTCTCCTTTAGTTATTGCAGTTATGGAAGACTGCACACTCCGTCATGTTTCCCAGTGGAAACATTCCCAGGGCACACGTGAAAAGCAGGGATCTCTAGGCCTCTGCTGGAGTGGGTGTTGGTAGCACTGGGCAAGGTGCCTGGGAGGAAAAGCCCCTAAGGAGGAGAGGTTTATTTTGGCTCACAATTTGTAGAGATTTTAGTCCACAGTTCTCTGGCTCCAAAGCAAAGTGGTGTGGCAGTAGGGCATGGTGGAGGAGAAACAGCTCATGGCATGGAGATGGGGGCAGAGAAAGTGTGGAGGAAGGAGTGGGGAAGAGAGAAACTCTTTTAGGCTACGCCCCCAGTGACCCAGCTCTTTCGACTACAGCTCCCTCCCAACAGCGAGTCAGCTATAAGCACCCTAGTCCATTCACTCCCCAGCAGCCCCACTTTGAGCACATTAGGCCTTGGAGGACGTCTACATATAAACCATAACAATCTCAGTATGTCTGTCTTAAAAAAGACCAAAACTAAATATAAAAAAACAAGTGAGGGTCTCTTGAGAAAAAACAAAAGCCCAGAACCATAGTACCATTATCACCCAAAAAATTAGCTATAATTTTTAACTGCTTTATTTTTTTCATTGCTCCATTCATACAGGCGAAAGGAAAAGGCAAGCAAGCTGAGTGAGCTGAGGTTACCTTTTTTTTTGGTACTGGGAATCAAACTCAGGGCCTTACGCTGGCCAGGGAGGTACAGTGTCTTGTGATTGACACTTGCCTGAGCATTTAGGCTCAGCACCAGCCAGTCCTCTCTTCCAGGCCTGGTGGGGAGCCTGGGAGAAAGGGAGAATGAGGAGACAGCTGGACTTAAGGTCAAGGGCATTTATGCTCTGATGTGGGTGGAAAGGAAACACAGATGCCGATGGTTTCTGGGATGTGGAGAGGGCGCCAGTGGTTTGGACCATTTTGCAGAAGAAATAGCTCTGAAGAAAAAGAAGAATGCAGTTCATAACCTTGTCATTGACTAAAAATCCCATTAGGACCTTAGCTTAAAAACGGAAAAGGCTTTTGGGTAAATGAATTTGCTACAAAAGGGAGAATGAATAGGGGGAATGAATCAGGATAGGGAGGGGACGGCCTTGCTGGAGTTCTTTGGTGATGGGCATGTAGCATTTCACGGTACTATTCTGATCCTGCGATGGTTTCAGATGCTCCACAGGAATAAAGTGTAGGAAGAATGGTCTATTAGGTGTTCACTTAACGAGTTCTTAGGTTTTGAAATGGCAGAGGCATAGGGAAAGAAGCTGAGAGGGACTTTTGTTATGTTTGTTCCTCCCTTCTGTTACACTGCTCTGATTGTTATGTTTTTTCACATAATTTATTTATTTTGTTGGTACCTGTGTGCATACACATGTTTGCATGTACGTGTGTGTATGTGCATTTATTGAGGATTGGACCCAGGACCTTCACACTGAGCTACTTTTTTATTTTTTATTTTTATTTTGAGACAGGGACTCCCTGAGTCACTAAAGTACCCAGGCTGGGCTCAACTTATAATCTTCCTGCCTCCACTCTTGAGAGTTACAGGTGTGCACCACTATGCCCAGCGTATTTACTAGTGTTTAATTTTCTGCAAAGGTAAGGAGGGAGAAAAAATGCCCTAGTGTTGCCTACTAGACATGTAACAGGAGCCACATATGTAACTTTAAATTTTCTGGTAGGTACATTATACAAAGAAAGAAGAAATATGTGAAGTTAATTTTAATGATTTATTTAACTCATATATAAAATGTTACCATTCCTATATGCAATAAAAAATTATCAAGATAGTCATCCCTTGGCAACTGAATGACTGGTTCTAGGACCCACTATGGATTCCAAAATCTCTTCTATAAAATGGTGTACTATTTGCACATAACCTACACACATCCTTCCACAAACTTAAATCAGTTCTAGAGTACTTACAACAACTAACACAGTGTAAGTAGTGGTCATACTAAATTACTTAGGACAGTAATAGCAAACCTTTTAGAGACAAGTGCCCAAACTGCAACCCAAACCCACTTACTTATCACAAAGTGCCAACACTGCAATTAAACCTGAGTACTGTTTAGTTTAGTTTAGAAAAAACAACTCACACATTAACATCTTTTGTCTTACAAGAAAAATACCACATGTGCTGTAGATTCACTGCCTCTGGTATAAGGAATAATGACAAAAATTATGTACATATTCAGTATACATAAGTTTTCAGTATACATAATGTTTTTATCCTGATGTTGATTTAATCCATGAATATAGAACCACGGACATGGCAGGGTGCCTGTATGCATTCATTTTTTTGCAAGTCTTTGAGATCTTGTGTATATTTTATACTTACAATGCCTGTAATCCCAGCATTCATGAGGCTGAGGCAGGGGGATTGCTGAGTTTTACCTATCTCAAATAAAACTAAAAGAGATCTCAATTTGAATTAGGCACATTTCACATGCTTAGGAGCCACGTGTATATAGTGTTTGCCACATTGTCAGTACAAAAAGTAGCATTTTGCTGGCTGTCAGAGGCCTATAATCCCAGCTACTTGGGACTAGTTGAGTTGAAAGGATTGTAAATTCAAGGCCCACCTGGGCAATTTAGCAAGAACCTGTCTCAAAATAGCAAAGAGCTAGGAATGCAGCTCAGTGGTAGAATGCTTGCCTAACATGTGGGAGGCCCTGGGTTAAACCCCCAACAGCCCTTTCCTCCCAAAAGGTACCATATTGAATGATATAAAGAAAAATTAAAAAGGTAGCTCTCCCTCTGATTCCAGCTGTCCCTTGACCTCTAGTCCTCTGCATCTACTCCTCACAGGCCGCCACTGTTACCAGCTTCTTTTATGTCCTTCTGGTGTCTTCCAAGCTTCTATAACGCAGGCAAATGAAGTATTGTTTATCCCCTTTTCTCACATAAATGGAAACAGTTCACATAGACTCTTTTATACCTTATTTTTTCCCTTGTTTCATTTGATGAATGTTCCAAGGATGCCTTATTATGCTTTGTAGGAGAACTTTTCCAGGTGTACCTTTTCCAAGTGTCAGGCCCGGATACTTACACTCAGCAGTACATTTGAAAGCCCAGCCTGGTGGCACACACCTGTGATCCCAGCACTTGGCAGGCTGAGGCAGAAAGATGGTTGTGAGTTCAAGGCCAGCCTGGGTTACATACTGAGTTCAAGGGCAATCTAGATTACACATCAAGACCCTGTTTCAAAAAAAAAAAAAAACACATGACACTCTGCACAAAAACCCTGTAAGGGACACCACCCTCTTAGCTGTCACATTGTGGCTGCAGCAGAGGTGTCCCAGACTAAAGGTCTCAGCCCATCCTTGTTCTTTTGTGGTCCTGCAAAGGTAGGTATGACCATCAGGTGACCTGGTGGCCACATTTCACTTATGGAAGGTTCCAGTGCCTCACAGCTCTTGCCCCAGCACAGCCCTCATGGTGCCTGTCCATGATCACCTGGAGAGTTTTGTGCCTGCTGGTGTTCTTGGCAGTGCCTGTCTGCTTTAGAGAGCCAAGATTGGTGGCTAAGCAAGCATGCTGCTTCTGCTCTTCTCCCTGTCCATGCCCATGTTCAAGGACTCCCAAACAAGCCATGTCATGCTAGGTGGGAGCCGGGGAGGAGCCCTGGCTTGTCAGGTCCTTACTCTTTGCTCTCCTAGGTGGCCTCAGTGACCCTGGCCTCACACTGCCTGTGTTACTGCAGCCAGCCAGCGGGGCATACTCTTTGGCACTTGTACTGTCCCTTCTCTGAGTCAGGCTCCCTCCCTCTTTTGTTTCAGTTAACTCTTCACGAACTATCCTGGATGCAAATGAAGAATTTAAGTCCATGTCGGGCACCATCCAGCTGGGCCGGAAGCTCATCACGAAGTATAACCGCCGAGAGCTGACAGATAAGCTTCTTATCTTCCTTGCTCTGGCCCTTTTTCTTGCTACTGTCCTCTATATTGTGAAAAAGCGCCTCTTTCCATTTTTGTAAGATCTGAGAGCTGCCACATTTGGCCTCATCAGTCCGTTTTCCAATCGTCCAGGATCCCGAGCTCTAGCCAGGCTGCCAGACTGAGCCACATCCTCCACGTGTGCTCTTGTGCTCAACGAGGCAGATGGAAGGAAACACAACTCTCAGTCTTCTGTGAGTGGATGCCTTGCAAAGTGCAAGCGGAGCCTTGGGAGATGAGGACCCCTACAGGACACAGGGACTCTGCACTCCCCCAGCCGCCAGCACTGGGGGTGGCTGCTGCTTGGAGCATTTGGAGTCCAGCCCCTGAGATTTGTTGCTCCTCTCCCTCACACAGAGGTGTAAGTTCCAGGTGTCGTGGAGGGAAGAGAGAAGAGGTGTGAAGAAGGAAGAACTCATGGTCATTCCTTGAATAAACTTGACTTTATTTAATAAAATATGTTTAGTTTCACAAGATACTGCTCTGGGAATTTATATGCCTCTTTTCTGATTTTGAGGACACAAGCTTAGATATTATTCATTCACTGAACAAAGAATTAAGTAGCTGCCACATGCCTTGTGTCCTAGATATTCTTACGCATTACACATATACCAGTAACCAGACGTTGCTCCTCTGTCAAACAGCAACAGAAGTAAGGCCTCACAGCTGTTAGGAAGGGCAGTGCAAATAGCTGTCTATTGGATGTGGCTCGCCCCAGCTTCTTAAAATGCCAAGGTAGAGGTTTTACTTCTTTGTGATACAGTATCCTGTTGGCTCCTGGGTGTATGCAGTAACTAAGGCACTGGCTGATACCTTTTTCTCTGAGGTCCAGACTGTGTCTAACCAAGGGGAGAGAAGCCAGTGAAAAGCTGAGGCCCCCTGTGGGCCCAACTTCTGTCAAGCCCAGCCCCCACACAATACACACATTATGTTCTCACAGGACTTGGCAGGGTTATATGAGAAAGTAGAAGGAGAGGACTTTAAGGCTTGACTTAATTTTGAGTTTTGACTATAAACAAACCACATGACCATGAGCAAATTACTTTCTGTCACTAAGCCTGTTTCCCCATCTGTAAAATGGCAGTGATAGTCTACATAGACCCTTACAGAGTCAAAATGAAAAGAGAATGTACAGTACCAGGTATAGTATCCTTATGATGGCTTCTGATGGGCTTTGCAGAAGCTCCCACCCCAAAGGCTCTGGGCAGAGGTATCCCATAACTGTCTGCCTGGGTACTTCCAGAAAGGCTGGCCAGGCAAAGGCAGGTTTTTTGGGGGAGGGTGAGGTTGTAGTACTGGGAATTAAATCTGGGGTCTTTGCATTGAGCTGTATCTCCAGCACTTAGTTTATTTTTTGTTTTTGAGACAGGGCCTTGCTATGTATTTCAGGCTGTTTTTGAACTCACTATGTACACAGGCTGGCCTCAAACTTGAGGTGATCCTCTGCCTTGTCCTCCTGAGTGTTGGGATTGCAGATGTGTGGCACCATGCTGTTTATTTTTGTTTTTTTGAGACTGGGTTTCACTATAAAATTCAGGCTGGTCTTGAACTTAGGACAGTCCTCCTGCCTCAGTCTCCTAAGTGCTTGGATCAGCAGCATGTGATGCTGCCTACACCAGGCAGGCAGAGGCATCTGTTTAGATCTGTCTGAGCAGAGTGTCATTAGTGCCTCTATGTTATGAAGGAACAGATCATCCTGAGACAAGGTTATAAAAGAGATTGGCTATATACCAGCTCATTCAGACTAGTTTAATGAGGTTCTCAGATAAAATTTATTTGTATCATAGTATTTAACACAATAGTCCACCATCAGGGCTTAAGTTCCAAGACCACCCCAGTGGATGCCTGAAACCTAACTGTGGGGAACCACTCAGACTGCCTCTAAGCTTAGGGGTGTCTAAAGATACCTGGGGATGTGACTCCATTTGTGTAGCGCAGGAGCACAGTGGGATGCAGTTATGTAACCGTGACTTAGCACAGGTAAACATGCATGCGCTGGTTATAGCACTATGTAAGAATGTAAATATGAGATAACAACCTGTATAAGAATTGTACAATAAAGATGCAGGCGGCTCTTGCTCTGGCTGTCTGCTCTGCTCCATGCTGCCTGCTATTGTTGCTGCTGTCTTGCACAGGTGTGTTCTTTAACCTTGGGACCTCACTCACAAAAATCTCCCTTGGGCCCCCTGAGTGGGCTGACAACTGGTGTAGTTGACGGGACATTGAAGTGAGTGGTCTCATGCAGACTATAGAAACAGCCCACAAAAGTGAGGGAGAGCCCCGGGGAATGGCTGATAAGCAGCCCCAGCTCACCATGATTACCTGTAGCCACCTTCTTGGCAACTTGGAAGGCCCCCAGGGACTGGGAAACAGTCCATTTGGAGCCCAGGGATGTCATGCAAGCCTTAGAAATGATTGACAAAAAATTCCCTTCACTATGAAACAGCAGGGTAGGTGGCTTGGCTGTTTTTCACTCTCTTCTGCTGTGTAAATCAAGAGGTGGATGGCCTTGTCTGGCAAGTAGACCAGCTGCAGCAGATAGAGGAGAACATTGAGCAATGGCTGGCTGCTGTGGAGCTCATGCTGCAAGGCATGGGAAGTACTGCCTCCTCCAGAAATGTCTCCAGAAGCATAAGTCCTCATGTCCGAGAAAATCCCCCGGGAAAATCCCCTGGCTTTGCCTGCAAAGCTGGCTATTCATCAAAAGGTGGAGGTAGAAGAACCCCTAGCCCAGGGAGGAGACTGAGAGGGCCACCTACTTCTACCTGGCACACAATGTGCACGACCAATAGAGCCATGGAGCTGCAGGAGATGGCAAAGCAAAACAGAAGGGTGAAACAGTGCCTGCATGGCTGCTGTGACCGGGTAACGCTGGGGCTGATAGCACATAGTTAAGCCCACAGAAGATGTCCCAAATAGCCAGCATAGGCAGCACCTCCTTTATGAGAGAGGTTCTTCAGGATGTAGAGGGCGGCCCCAGAAGCAGTAATCAGACTGTGATAAATTGGTTGATAGGAGCGGTTCACCTGGTTTGGGAGAATCCAGGTAACCTACTAGAGCAAGTCACTATCGAGGCTGGATAACTGTGTTATGTGAAATGGGCATGTGGCAAATGATGCTTGCACTGCAGTACCATAGCCCAGATGAGGAGCTGCTCATGGCACCCATGAAGGACACGATCCTGGCAAGCAGGCTGGCTGGCACGTTTGGGTCAGTGGCACTTTCTAGCTCCCTTCATGGATCGCCCAATCCATGATGCTGTGGATGCCTTGGCCAGACTGGCAGATGTGAAAGTAAAGCACCAAAGTAAGGCGAGATTTATAAAAACTACTGGCAAAGGAGAAGAAGGGGACCACTGGGCAAGCAGGGCACAAGCTAAATGTCGGTCGGTTGGACAGGATGTGGGACCCCTCAATGTCAGTCAGTTGGCACCAGATCTGGCCAGACTTGCTGGCTGCCAGCCTAACCACATACAAGTTAAATGGGCAGCCTTTGGATGTATTGCTGACTCTGTGGAGGCAGTTATAGTCTGAGCAGCAATACCGGCCAATGGGCCAACACCAGAAGGCCAAAACAGCCCTGGTGAAGTTGGAAGAAGTGACACTGGCCTCCTTTTACCCTGATTAGGAGGTAGGCCATGCTGCCTGGGTTTTGGGGGTCCCAGGAGACGAGAGGCCACATACAGAATTGACTATTTACTAGTCCCCCCAAAATACGCAGCATGTACTAGCATTGGTGGGTAACTGAGCTGAGCCAACACTAATATACAACAACCCAGACCATTTTATAGGACCTGCATACCTCACGGTCTGGAAGGTCCAGATGACTTTGGCTAAAGGACACTTGCCCCCACGCCTGTATGATGTTTAAGTTTCCCAGTTGCTGAATACATACTGGGGGTGGACATACTGATTGGTGCTCAGCTGGACACCACACAGGGAGAATTCCGGTTGTCAGTTCAAGTGGTAAAAACCAAACTCTGAGACCGTTCACACCACGCACCACTGACTCTCCCAGAGACCACGTGGGTTATATACATAAAGCAGTATTGGCTACCCGGAGGCCATGAGGAGATGGGACAGACGTCCTGAAATTGAAAAAAGCAGGAGTGATACTCCCTGCACAGAGAGCCCTTCGGTACGGCCCTTGAAGAAGCCAGATGGGTCGTGGTGAACGACTGTGAAGTCTCACCCGTCAGGACAAATTTGCCTTCACTCAGGAGGGCAAGCAGTGGATCTTCCACATGTTGCTACAAGGCTGTTTGCATAGTCTAACTTTGTGTAATGCGTGGTGGCCCAGGACCTGGCCACCTGGGCCAAGCCACACTCCGTGTCACTGTTTCATTGTATTCATATTAAGTTAACCTCTGATTGCCTTGCAGCTTTGAAAGCTGCAGTGTACAGTCTGAAGGAAGCTTTGCTGACATGTGGGTGGGCCATGGACACAGACGAGCTTCAGGGAACTGGCTTGTCTATCAAATTCTTGGGTGTTATGTGCCCAAGACAGTACGCCAATTATAGGTGTATGTGGGCTTGCTAGATTTTTGGCAGATGTACTGCACCTAGCTACCCACTGTGCCCTTTATACTAGATGATCAAAAGGGGCACAACGTGGGGCTGGATAGATGCAGCGGAAGCTGCTTTTCAGGACACAAAGAGGCCTATTGCGTAGGTGCAAGCCCTATGAGTCACTGACCCTAACCTCCCACTTATCCTAGCCATCCGTGTGCATGATGATGGATTTGGCTGAGGCCTATAGCAAAAAGAGGGTAAGAAGAAATACCCTGCTGAGTTTTGGTCACAGTTGTAGAAGGGAGCTGAGCAATCCCTGATTGAGAGACAGCAGCGTTGTATGTTGCTCTGCCTGCCAAGATGAATCATAGGACAGAAAGAGGGCTGGGTATGGATGTGGACAGCCCGTCCTAAGAGTGGAGTGGCACAGGTCCCCACTCTCACGTGTTGGAGGATGTACCTCCAACAGTGGGCCTCTTTTGACTAGCCCGTTGGCAGCCAAACTGCAAGTTTTGGGACCCGTGATGTACATGGCCTAAGAACCTGTCCAGGTGAATGGACTACAGGACTTGACCCCTAGTCCCTATGCAGAAGGGAAAGAGGGACCTCTGGCTGACACCTACTATACTGATGGGACTAACCATGGCACAGCCCCACAATGGACAGTAGCTGCTGTCCAGTCCAGTATGGAAGTACTCTGGTTTGAAACTGGAAGAGGCTGGTCAAGCCAATGGGCAGAGTTTTGACAGTGTGATTGCTTGTGATGCATGAAGATGGCCCCCTATATGTGTGTGTGGACAGTTGGGCCTTCTTAAGGGGGCTGAGGCTCTGGCTGCCAGCTTGGGCAGCTCAGGAATGACACATAGGGCATTGTCACATGTGGGGTGCCAAACTATGGTGAGATGTATGGGAGAGCAGTCGTGAAACTGACCATATAGGGTATCATGGTTCAGGACATAAGCCCC